CCATGAATTTGTGGTAAAATATTCAATTTAAATTAAAAATTAGATTGCTAAGATTATTATATATGTAATTTAATGTAATGTAGTTAATAAAAATGATAGAAATAAGTTTTTTGTAGTTTATAGGCGTCTATTCTAATAAAATAATAAGATTACCTGCGTTGTACTTATATGTAAGTATTATTGGAAAAGAACAGGATATATTATGATAGACTTATTTACCGAAAGAGAATTTTATAAAATATGACTGTAGGAACAACTCTATTTTATTTGTGTATCTTCATGAAATTCATGGTCACTCTACATGTCAAGTTGTTGTTCACGTATTCATGAATTTATTTATGAGTTGAAATAAGATGTGTAAACTTGGAATCAGAAAGTCCGTTGACATACCCATTACCTTATTTTATCCTCGTCTGTGCCCACATCATACAAATTTTGCGACCGAGTAAATATATTTTTAAAACAATTTATAAAGCAAGTTTTAGGCGCCTGTAGAATTTAATACGCAAAACAGTTCATAGATAAAATAACAAATATTTAATGTCAGGCGCTTTGGTACCGTAAATGTGAAACAAAAAATCTATTAGTTATTTTATTTAAACAGATGAATAGTATTGTACGTTGCAAGGTTGAAGATCATGGATGTCGCCTTCAGAGATGCTTACTATGCTGACCTTACTGTCATATCTTAACCTTACTTAAGCGACTTGTGCAGAATGTAAGTACATTGTTTTAGCATATCTATTGTGCGTTGTTTAAAAGTGTTTTTAACTATATTCTTTAAAAATTATTGTACACATATTAAGAAAGAATAAATCAACAATAAGCATACATATAATTTTTGTAAGCATTTCATCCCCCTGCCAGAGTAAAAATAAAAACCATTAACGAAGTTTAAATGACAAGCATTGAAATAAATATATTTTTTATTTCTATTCACAGAATAATTGATATGAAAAGTTTAGAAACCATTCTGCTGTCATAAAAAGGCGGGAAATTCACACAATGAATTTTAATTGCCATATCTGAAAATAACTAGACACAAGTTTTTGTTTGCATTTATATTACTTTTGCTGGAAAAAATATATTAATTTTATCTTGGTACATGTCTCTTTTGTTTGGTAATCTATACTAATATTATAAACACAAAAGATTTGTGTTTTTGTATGTATTGAAATAACTCAAAAACTACTTGAACGATTTAAAATATTCTTACTCTTTTTTATTAATGTTTAAATTTACGCTGTAGCTCACGACTTTCCACCGCGTAAATTTAACCAACTAGTTTAGAATAATGGGGCAAGCAGCGGATCGCCTAATGTTAATGATCCGACGCCCAGATGCCCTCCCGGAATTTAAGGGAGAAGTACATTTTTTTATTAGTTTAGGCAAAATATTGAAATTCAATAAGTCAATTGACCATCTTTACGACAAAACGAAACTACTTCCTTGCATTGTAGTTCAGTAATCGCTTTAAAATTACGGTTGTGAGTAATAATTGACTACAATTAACCAATAATAAGGTCATTACGAGTTACTGTAATTGACAACACTTGATAGTGTTTTAGTTTGCAACATTGTTTTAAAGCGGATAATTTAACAGCAGGATTTCACTGGCGAATGCAAGACTGAAATCAAAATGAATAGATGTTTGTTATAGTTTGACGCCTAAAATGCTCAACGGATGTAGATAGATGTAGAGCACAGTCTGGAAGACCACATCGACTTCTTGCTTTTGTTTTTTTTTAGCTTTTTAATCCGTTTAACTAATCTAATGATAACGATGTAACCTGTGGTTTATAATAATTTATAATCTTTTTTAAATCTGTTTCATCTTTACATACATATAATAAAATTGAAGCGTCTTTTTTAATATCAAAAGAAAAATTCCAGATTACGGGAAGATGATGTATTTGTGTTGGTGATAACGAGAATCGCATTTAATTTTTTTTTTGTCTGTCTGTCCGTCTGTCCGCAAGCCGCGTTTGTTCCTTTCACTGGGGAATAGCTGACATGGATAGGCTACTTTTGTTAAATTCTGCCATGTCAATATGGCGTAACGGGTGGTCCTTTGCGCTAATGACGTTTACGGCCGACAGCTCGTATAAAACAATTCATTGGATTTATAAAAAAGTTCATATATATAAGATATTTGTATATACTTAAAGTAACATAGGTATACTTTAAAAACTTGCAGTAGTTTTTACGTCAAAACAGCTGATACCAAATGTCATTGACAATATGACTCAGCGATTCCAACAATATTAGCCAATGACGGCGCGGAATTTTCCCGCGCTATTTGTAAACGAGGCCGATGGTTTTCCGTTTTGAAACATTTATAATTTCAACAATACAATGGCATATTTAATTAAAGTAATAATGACTGTAGATTTCCACTGGCGGCAGAATCACATAAAACTATATTTCTATCTCTTTCTTTCGCTAAAGTTAGGAATAAACTGAGTATAAGCCAAATACTAGTACAAATTTTGCTTATACTTCAGATTTTTCTTAAATTTAACTTTATACCGCGTTTGTAAGGCTAATAGTTTTTAAATTGTTTTTTTTTAGTCAAAGAAGTATATCTGGCTTTGATAGAGGCGTTGCAATCTCATTTTTGCAGGAAAAAAATACCATGATAGCTAAGTTACAGATGGCGCTAGTGGGCTATCATAGTTTGACTTACGGCTCCCGGGATAGATTACTTTGTTCCTATTTTGTTAGGTTGTATAATGCAACGAGCAAATTTTTCGCTTTCGATCGAGGTCGGACACAAGATCGTGTGATTGTCACGTATGTTAATCAGAATGTGTGAAAATACTCATGAGACCTTGACGGTTGTGACACGTGAAAGAGAAATAGCGCTAATACGTAATTTTAATAAACACTGACCTCTATAAATGGACAGGCTATACCTACGATGGAAATTGGAAGTAATATATAAGAAACGGTATTAACAGGCGCATTTGAATGACGAAGGAATAGATATGATTATCAAGTAAATACATATCTATTTTAACAGATCAATGCATTTAAATAACTCGTTTTGCTTGTTGATTACTTCGTCACGTAACGTTTTCGTTTAATATTTATTTAGAACATTTTTAAGATTTCGATGTATCATTTTAAATGCTTAACTTTTGGTTAATAATGTTTTAAAAAAATATTTTTCTGTCTATCTACTAGCTTTTGCTCGTGACTTCGTCCCCGTGAAATAAAAAATAATGATAAAAGATAGCCTATGTTAATCACAGATAAATTACCTTTCTAACGGTGAAAGAATTTTGGTAATTGGCCCAGTAGTTTTTGAGTTATTTCAATACGTACAAAAATACAAATCTCTTTTATTTATAATGTTAGTATAGATAAAATTAATAAAATTAGATTGTCTATATGTAATAGCCAAATAAATCCATATTACAAGAACATTACATATATGCGTATCTTATAATAAAAACTCGATTTTCAGTTGTCGTGAAATTGAAAGTAAAATGAAGTACGAATAGCCTATGTTTTCTTCCAGACTATCCTCTACATTTATGCCAAATTTCATCGAAATCCGTTCAGCAGTTTTGGCTACAAACTCTTACAAACATCCATCCATTTAAACCTTCTCATTTATTATAGTAAGATGTATGTATTTACTGTTTTTTTGACTGATTTGCCTTGAAGAGGCATTTACAGAGTTACCATGCAGATGGCGCTTAACCTAAACCTCGTTTATGAGTAACTAACGAAGGCTCCCTCAGGAGCCTCGGCACGGGCAGTTAATTCGTTATTATGTATACACGCATTCTCAATTTTAAGAGGTATATATCTTAAAATTTAAATAACTTACCGTACCGGTTTTAACTTAAATGGTACAAGATCCATTTAGATTTATATCAAAGGTTTGGAAGTCATGAAAATACGTACTTGGTAAGATTTATGTACGTTTTTTAAACATTGATTTAATTCTACGGAAGATGGAAATAATAGTGTAAAAAACTCAATGTCTCCAACGACGTCAACATGACAAGGTATTGTAATTTATGTGACCTTTGGGTAACAACGTCTGTTAATAGCTCTCCGGAGTTATCTACTTTATGTGGGCTATTTTTTAACTATTTAAATCAGCGCATTAAACACTGAATAAGTAATCTAGAGATCCTGGTTTCCAAGGTGTAATTATATGAAAAAATAATAAAACCACATATAGTTACTAATAGATGGTTTTGCGTGGCTATACTCGTATTTGTGTGTATATTGAAATTGTGTTATGTATATTTTTTAATAGCGTGGTTGACTAACCTAACCTAATTGGGCCAAGCTCCGAGAGTAAGATCGGTTCATAATGCCAGGTTCACATTTTCCCAGTACGGTTTGACAAGCCAGATATACATTGCATAGATTTTGCACCACCTAGTGTTCGTATTACGCCAATTAATCACCATACCAATCTTTGATCGCTATTGTCGAACTGTATTGGCCAATTGTGAACCTGGTCTTGGAATCAGTTGACGAGAATATACACGTTATGAAAAAAATTAGCAATATCGTCAAACGCTTGCATGCACTAACGACTACTGGATCTGAGCCCTAAAAATTATTAACTAACTGTTGCTCGCGACTTCGTCGGCGTGAAACTAAAAAATAATTAAAACGTAGCTTATGTTTTTATTAACGAAAGAATTATTGAAATCGTCTCAGAAGTTTTTGAGTTATTTCAATACATACATACAAATCTTTTCTCTTTATAATGTTAGTATAGACATAGAAAACGATAAAATTAGTTTTGTGATACAAAAATATTAAAATTCTTGTGTTTCACGAAGCTCGTAACAGGAATAAGCAAATTGAGTGTACTTATCCGTCAAGTTACGACGCTAACTTGACAATGGTCATGTATTAAAGTAATTTGAACTTTATCCCTTTGGGATTTGGTTTCTTTTTGTGAATTAACAGTCGAAGGCAAGCAAGATACGAACTGCGCAAGAGCATTCTTCAAGTTCAGTGTGAGGCAAGCTTGCGTGGTCGACGCACGTAGCTGCGCCGTTTTCCAACGTTCCGAAATACGTCGTTTTAAAGTGTTGTGTTTTGTGATATTTTTATTATATTTTCTTGGATAGCTGTTGATTTATAAATAGGTGAGATGTTGAAAAATAATTGATTGTTTTTTTTTAATTATTTTTTATTAACATAATATTCTTGAGTCATTATAGTTGATTTTAATAATTAGTATAAATCGTGTTAAGGCCAGATTGGGATTCGTGTGGCAATGGATATTTTTTTAAATTATTTTGTAGATACATGTATTATAATTAAATCGAAAATACACATTAAATATTGAGTTTAAAGTAACATTAATAACAAAAAATATCACTATCAGTTATCGAATCAAAGACATTTATGACCGGTTTCCTAATTACATTTAACCATTCGTTAGTGTTTGGGGTTCGATTACTTCATGAAACTTGAGATTTACTTAATACTACGGTACACTTAACTAATAAATCACTAGTTTACGATAAAAAAACCTCATCAAACCACCATTAATAACATACTTCTATTTCAATTTCTTTGATTTGAATATCTTGAATACTGGCTGTTGCTCGTGACTTCGTCTGCGTGAATAAAAAAATATTAAAACATGGACTCTGTTAATCATCGATAACATAGCTTTTTAATTATGATAGAATTTTAAAATCGTCCCAGTAGTTTTTGAGTTACTTCAATAGATACAAAAATACAAATGTTTTGCTCTTTATAATATTAGTATAGACAATAATTTGTATACAAGTGTTATGATAATTAAATGTTAACAATTTCATTAATTGACTCAATAAATATAAATATCTCTAGTCCAACTAATAGACTTAAATTATACAGTAAAGTAATATTTTAAACTGGTTAGTAAAACAGGATCGAAACTGATACAATAAAATTGACATGTCTGTACATGACAAAAAAACATCGATTACATTCATTTGTGCTGCTTATAATAAAAACAATTTATCAAATTTTTCATCTGTCTGTCTGTCCGCAAGGCCTTGTACCGGGTAATCTCCGAAACGGTTGGAATCTTGACGGGACTTTTACTGGAAGTTAGCTGATGTTGTGGCGAGTAACTAAGTATTTTCATTTTAAATTACACGCTGACAAGTCTCGGGCGTAAACTAGTATTTAATAGTTGAATTTCTTGTATTTGCAATATTTGATCATTAGTGATTATTTTTAGTTGGATTTGAATACAAATATGCCGCGATAATGTCTCGATGTCGAGAAATTGAGAAGCAAAAGGTTAGCATGGTATGGACATGTTATACGATGACAGGATGGGGACATAAACCAGAAAATGCTAGAGGAAGACCGAAGAATGTATGTGATTGTGTGAAAGAGGATTTGCTTAAGGGTGTGGATTCAGATATGACGGCTAATAGAAAGGAATGGAAGAGCAGCACATACTGTGCCGACTCGTAGGGACAATAGCAAGATGATGAATATGTTAATTCTATGACTGACATGAGTACGCGAAAGAAACTATATTAATTTTATTCATGACTAGCTGCTCCCATGCGACTTCATCCGCATAAAATTATAAAAATTTCATTTTATTATTTACATTTGTCAAATTATCAATTGCAAATGTCCAAATGACATGACATGATGTCAAACCATGGCAACTTTGATTCCTTGATGTTGGTAGCATCTTATGGTCTCTTTCCCACATTAGGGTTTTTATCCAAAATATTTACGCCTAAGTTTAATGGCGTGAAAATATGTAGTCTAAAGCATAATGTTAGTGTAGGGCTTTTTATTAAAAAAAGAGTTATTCAAAAATATGCTGTAATTGCTGATATCTTAGGCAACAAAGAAGTGTGTGTTTACGCTTTATTATAAATAAAATAAATAAATAAATAGGACTTTCATTGCCACAAAAACAAGCTACAAATGAAATCTTACATACATCAACCTTATAACTAGTAAAAAAAAAATAGTATAGATAGTATAGATGACCTTTATTTTTATTACATACACATTAATAAACTCAAGTAAAGTTTTTGTTACATGTAAGCTGTTTCTAACATTGATTAACATTTGTTATTTAAATCACTTGAGCAAATATTCCACCTTCCATATTCCTTGTGGAAATTTTCTGTATAAAGATAAATTTCTTAGAAAAACTTTTCTACGCGATTTAAATTTTTCATTGATTAGGCAAAGTTCGTCGCTTAACTTTGTGAAAAAGAACATGCTATCTCTGTTTTTTCAATGAGTACGAAAGAGATGAGAAACTTCGGCATATTCATATGTACATTTCACTGAAAAACACTAATAGCCTAATGGTTACGGGTATGTACATCGAGTTGATGGTTAAATTCCCATTTTTCAATTGTGTTAGTCATCTAAGCACAAGCTTGGAGATTTCTTGGAATGGTTTAAATAAGTACTAGTAAAAATTCTGACATTTTAATAAAAAAAAACTTATACACCTCGTTAAATTTTCCGCAGTAACCTTACAAATTAACATATAAAATACAAGATTAACAATAAAACGTAAATTAGATAAAGTAAACAAGTTTATGAGAATAAAAGTGTTTTGCAACAGTCTTTTGTTTACCGTGTCTCCTAACCTATCGTTATCTCTTTTTTCCTCAAAAAGAATAAACGAGACCACTGTGTTCTTGCACAGAAGTTCTGTACGCCTCATTTCTCAGGCATAATCTTCGTTGATCACGTCTAGAGAATGTTTATTGTAGTTTATTGCGAGGTCGTCCGTGTTTTGCGTTATAATATTTTAGTTCGGTGTTTACTATCACTTTGATAAATTTATTAAAAAGGGTAACTATACACGGACATCTTCAGCAAAGGCTACAAGCATTCGACAGTTGACGATCGCTATACACGGACCTGATTGTTTCTGGTTTTTACTAAAGTTTGCAACTTTACTAAGACGAATAAACGACGGCAACAAACCTTCACCTAGTAAAATAATTTTGACTAACATCTGTGAGGTATAGTGTGGCATTTGATTTGGTACGTCTAGAGAACATCTCTACCCAGCGTACCACCCTAAAGCCCACAAAGCAGGTTTAACTGTACAGTTCGACTTGACTGGGGTTGTCAGAACATCTGAAAGAACTAGTGCACAGTGTAATTTATCTTTTAAGAGTTGTTGTATGGCTTCATCCGTATTATATACAAACTTTATCTTATGGTTTATATTTGTTAAACTTTTAATTGCAAATGTCATATTTGAAAGGAACGAATGACAAACAAAGGCCTTTGCTATTAGTGAAAAATTACTGTTTCCATGGAAATCTTACTTCTTTGCTTAAGCTTGTAGTTTTGTTCTTTTCTCGCATTGCATTTTTTCCAATTTATTAATCCCTATAATTATATAGAGTGAAAATATGTAGCCTATAGCGTGTCGTAAATGTAGGGGTTGTTACTGAAAAAGGTATAATTCAAAAATATGCTGTGTTTGCCGAAATCGTACATTACAAAGAAGTGTGTGTTTACGCTTTGCTGTATAAGTAGAGATTCCTTATACTATTGTCGCAGAAGAAAATAAGTTTATACTTAACTCGACGGTAAAGTTAAAAGTTAAATAAGATACCCAAGTCTCCGAGTTGGATAAGTTAGGGTTAAGTTTTGAATAAGGAAGTAATCCTTAAGCTATGTGGTCTGTTAAACTTAAGAAGGGTTTGTTGTGATATACATAAGTAAACAGTTTGAAGATAATTTTGTATTAGTTTTTAAAGTTATATCTGGTTATTAAAAAAAAAGAAGCCTCGAGTGAAAATACATATACATGTCTGGTAAACCTTTTTTTACATTGTTTTGAACAAGTAATTGATCACTATCACCAGCTCAGTATACGTCCCCACCGAAGGGCTCGGAGCCTACCCTAAGTTAGAATGACTAGGCCATAGTCAACCACGCTGCACTGCGGGTTGACTTCACACATATCTTTGAATTTCTTCGCCATCATGTGCATCACGATGTTTCCTTCATCGTAAGAACTTCGGGTAAAATATAAAATAAAAAAAAATAAATATAAAATAATGTTAAATCCTTGTCAACACTACAATTATGAATAAAACAAAGTAATTAAACACAAAATAATGAGAAACGTAACTAATGAAATGAAAAAAAAAGGAAAAAAGCAATATTTAAAATTAGCGTTGCAATGCTGACTGGATTGGGTCCTCGCTTAGCTATAAATGCTGGATGCTCCTATTGAAGTACCAGCGCTGATCTTCCGCGAGAACCCTTGGGATCATCCACACGTCAGTAGTAGCAGTGGATAGGTAGAAATTATCATATACACATGAGTAAAAAATAAAATGAAAGAAAAAAATCGTACATAAACGTGTTATGAAAAATAAAATGTATACAAAACTACAACACATATGATAATTCGAAAAATCGAAAATCATATTGGTACAGCGGAATTCGAACCTAAGTCCCGTAGATTACAAGTCAAGTGCTTAAACCACTGAGCCACCTACGCTCTGTTATTTATTAAACGTCTAAAATATGGAAAATATTGTTCATTAGCAGCACGCTGTGAAATAATTTGATAAACAGGTAGAATTCGATAAAATATTTGATAGGTTTTTTTTAATAAATGGCCACTGTTTGCCTTGAAGAGGTATTTATAGGGCTTGAGGTGGCCGAGCGCAGATGGCGCTTAGCCTAAACCTCGTTTATGAGTAACTAAGCTCGAGGGCTCCCTCAGGAGCCTCGGCACGAGCAGTTACTTCGTTATTATTACCGGATTGGATTTGATCGAACACCTACAAATTTGAAAATCAAAGAATGCGGTAAAAGTGACTATTTTTAAATACACCATACTATCATACAAATATAAAATTATAAATGCGAAAGTTTAGATGGATAGATGAATGGATGTTTGGTAGAGTTAGCAAAAACGGCTGTACGGATTTCGATAAAATTTGTTATAGATATAGAGGAAGAACAAACGCGGACGGAGTCGAGGGTGTAAGCTAGTTTAATAATAAACACATTCACAAAATCTCTATCAGTAAGGCCAAATGAAATCAGTCTTATACCAATGTTTTAGATTTGACGTGATTCTTAAAAATCCTTTTAAAAAGAAAAAGATTCTTAAAAAGCCTTT